AAATTGGGTTGAAGTTCTACCTCAACCGCCATATTCTTCAGACCTTTCGCCAACCGACTATCACCTTTTCTAACATTTTCAGAACTCCCTTGCTGGAAAATACTTCATCAATCAGGACCAGGCAAAAAAGCCTTAGTGGATTTCGTGAATTTTCGACCACCCAGTTTTTTACTTTGATGGGATTTCTCGACTGCTGTCACATTGGCAAAAGTGTGCTGATTCGAATGGTGCCTATTTCGATTAAATCCGATGAGTATTAAAAAAGTTACGATCGTTTAAAGTGAAACACCCAAAACGCTGAGAACTTTCCGGACAACCTAATAAATAAGAGCTCGCTACTGAATGTGTGCCATGGAAAATTCCAGAGTAAAGCCGGAGTCTACATTTCTCGAAGCAAATTTTCCAGGGTGATTGGTTGAGTGTTCCCAGTATTTGCCTGTATTTGAATACAGTTTACAGAGTATGATTCCACTCAGAGAAAATGAGTTAGAGTGCGTTCATACTTTGCGCCAGCGTAACACAGCGTTTTGAGCATTTCGCGGCTAGTTTTGATTCTTTCAAGGGCAGTCGCTACGCTCAAAACGCTAGATCAATATCTGTACTTTCGTAGTCGCTCAAAACACTGCCGTACGCTTGAACGCTGATGCAGAGTGTGAACGCAGGCCAATAGGGATAAGAAATTTCCCGAGTGGTTGTCCTTAAATGACCCCTTATCGACACCGAGAACTTGGCGAAGATGGCTAGTGTCGAGGCCCGCCCGATGCTTCTTCATTACTATTCATCGAAAATGCTTTTGTGTACAACGAGAAGTTAGATTTGACATAAACCGCTGCGTTTCACAGTGTTGTGGGGCACTGCTCTTCACACCATATTCCCACCTTCATTCCATGTACCCACCCTACACCTCCTCTAGCAATCCGCGTAGCATATCTCACAAGAGAAAGTCTTTTTCTTTTTCCCCTTGTATATAGAGGTTAGTGCTTCTTTTGTCACTGCCTCTGGTTTTGCTTCCGATAAAGCAATATCCAAACATTAAGATATGCACTGTTATCCTTATCACACCCCCAAATGTCTAATACCTCGCGATAAGAACTAGTTTGAAGATCAAGCTGAAAAGAAATTGTAATCTTCTTCGCTGTCAATGATGGAGTGCGCGAGCGCGGCGGCGTTCGTTTTTTCCTTTGGCAAGCGACAAGACTACTATAACGTTCATATTCGTTTAACCAGTTGCTGTCACTTACCCGACTCAACAGCTGGTGGAGAATGGCTTTGGCGGCGTACCAAACGCAGCCAGGCAGACACGCCCTGACATCCGCAGCGAACCGAAGTGTATAAATACATATATCGATCCAACGAGTCGACCTTTTTGACGTGATGGACTTTTTCGGCGACTGCGCCT